GATCAAAGCTCATAGATGAGAAATGAACTACTCTGTGTTTTGATCAGCTTCACGCTTCCTTTTCAGAGATGAACCCGTTAACACCATGAAGTTACGGTTAAAAAAAGCCTCAGAGTAGAGGGCCGAGAATGATGCCTGTGGGTCCAGTATTTGTGACAGAGGTGAGAAGGCTGAGAGAAATTATTCTGTGGTTGAGAAAAATTCAACAAAAACAAACCCGTAGGAGCAGGCTTTTCTTTTGATTTGTCAAAGCATTAGTGCAGCGTTTCTGCGTATTTTCTCTGAAGTCATGACATTGAGCAAGAGCAGAAGAACTGTTTTAAAACCACTGAATAGAAGTAAGAGCGTAAACCTGCGCAAGATCTTGGCAGTCCTCAACTCCTCTCCAGCTTTTGGAAGTCTTAGCTTGGCTTATCCCGGAAAGGATATTGTTTATTCTACTCACTTGATTCATTCAGGCATTTCCAGAGAAGATGATTTCATTTTCTCTTTAATTTACCACACAGTTTAGAATCCTTTGTGGCCTTTTAACACAGTTTTATAAAGTCTGTAGTTAATGTTTGCAGTGTTACCTCTTGTGTCTTTGCCTTTGGTAATATATGTTCACTTGCTGAGTAAGAAAACTAGAATGACATAAGATAATAAGAAATGCCAAAAGAAATAAAAGTATAGATATTTAAGGACTTGAGTTCAAATGTCATGTATCTATGTCACAAAGGACACAAAACGACTGATTAAACTATCTGTTGCCTTCATGAAAGCTGGACTTTTGTCAGGAGTTGTTAAAGCAAATCTCAATGACTAAAAAGTTGTATTTACCATATCTGGCAGATATTTGCTTATTAAAGGAAAGCATAGTTCCCCAAGTTTAACATTTTCCATCAGTGTGTCAAGGTACATAACTACAACATTTACTTTTGATTCCATCCCTTTTCAAATTTTTTTTTATACTTGCCCCCTAATTACATACCCCTGCTTCATAATAATTTTAATATTTGCCCATGGCTTACGTTTTCTTCCTAAAGGAATTTAACTCTCTTTCTTGAGTGTTTTATAATGCTACTTCTTTAATTCTCAACAATCCTAAATTCCCTATCGAGCAAAGTTAGGATTCAAAACAAACTCCCATTCCATTGTAGAATATTACTTTTTACATATTTTGTCCTTTTAAAAATACTTTAACTTCGCATTGCTTCTCCTTCTAGCTTTGTCTCTCTTTAACTTTCAAATTATGAGTATGACCATTTTCTTTTGTGCCTTTCAGTTCCTCGACACCTGCTCATTCCTGAAGTCTGCACTCCACCACTCTCTTTAAATTGCTTTTTCCAAGGTTTCCAAATTTAGCCGACTAATTGCCAAAATCCTGGCTTTTTAAAGTTTGCCTTCATATTTCCACATTACTTGATGTTAGAGGTAGCAGAGGAGGTAACAGAAAAGGGATGTCCTCAGTGAGTGGCATGTTGGTAGATGTTTAACAACCAGCTCTTCATTTGTAGCTTTTGCCAATTTCCATGGTATAAATGCTCCCGACATGGATGATTTTAATCTCCCGATGTGATGTCATTGAACATGGAGTTGGGAAGCTACTTGAACTATCGGTTCTGGGGAGCTGATGTGAGCTGGCTCCAGCAAACCACTGTGTGTCTTTTTTGGAAAGCTATTAGGCCTTGGATTTGGCAACATGAAGCACCCTGTTTCATTTTCTATCTCTCTGACTCCAGTTTCTCTCCATTTTTTATTGTTTTTATTTCTTACTGTGCCCCTAATTATAGACTTAATTGAGAGTTAAAATTTTAATCCTTTTATTCTCTTACTTGGCATTTTCCTCTACCCTCATGTTTTTCATCATTAGTTCATCATGAGTGATGCTAAACCCTTGACTGCTCCCTGGAGGTCACCTCCCAATTTCAATGTCTTATCAGATAGCCCCTCCTTTACCTCACACTGGGCGGGGCTAAAACTGGACTTCTTACCTTGCCCTAACCCAAAGAGTACTCACATTCCTCCTACATGCCAGACACTTCATGAGGTATCTTGGACACAAGACTTGGAATCCATATTTCATGGGTTAAAAAATTCAAAGTTCAGATAATTTGATTAATTTACTCAAATGGACTCATTCAATAGGCAATGGAATACAGATATAAAGCCAAGTTTTGTCACTATGACACCAAAACCCATCTTCCTATTATACCATAGTGCTCCTCAGTTAATGGAACTATCATTTTTATCTCACACTGAATTAAAATGTGCAAGTAATTTTCGCATTTTTCTTAGCTGTTCTTAATTACCAAGTCCTATCTTTTCAGAAATTGGGCTATCTCCCTTCTATGTTATATACTTCTAAAAGCAAGAACCATACTGTATACTATAGTAATAATTTTATCCCTTTATGCAACAAAATTTCTTATAGTGATAGGTATTCAATAATTCTTGGTTTAATGAGTGAAGTAATTATTTAATGAAAAACAATGTATTTTGAATATTTCCATTGTATTTGTGCTACAATAGTGCTTTTCTGTCATCTGCGTTGAGGACAACCAATAATATTATATAGAGAAAATCAAATTTTGCATTAAAGTAATATTCAAGTTCAGTTTGCAGCAAAGAGGAAAAATTGAGATGCAAAATATACTCATATTTTAGTATGAAGTTTACCATTGCCCTAGCGGTTTCGGCCCCATTGCTAGTGTATCCATTTCTAAGTATCTTATGGTTTAGACTCCAGGGACTCTCCAATGAGTGTAGGGCACTATTCCTCCTTGCATTTCAAAGTAAGTGAGGGGAAGTCTTTTTTACAGTTTCAGAAGTCTTACTTAGGGTCCATGATTCAACAGTCTATCCAAATTTCTCTAAATTGCAAGAGCTGGCCACACTGTCCTGCTGAGTACAAATTACCAAATATATGAGGGTTATCTTGCCCTCTGCGTAAGTGAGTAGGTCGATGTATCACTGGACTTCTGAATTTGAAGTTTCCAACTTTTGCATCATCTCGGTGTATTTCCTGCTCCCTGCAGCCCTGAGGGGCTGCTTCATGGTCAAAGCATGCATCAGACTTTCCAATGGGCTTCCTGCAGCAAGACAATGTGATGCAGAGCTTTTCTACCCCAGAGGCCAGTGGGGCCGTTTTGACTATGAAGGGACTTTGTAGAGTAGTAAACAGCCTGAAAATTACCTGTTTGGGATTCTTAAGAGACATCTGCTTTGTGTGATACTGTGCTGTCACCTGGGTACTGAAATGCTCTCAGTTGCTGTTTATCATAAAATATCCTCAAACACATCTTTTATCAGACTCAGTCACTAAGGACTTAGATTGAAGTCTTAGACGCCTGTGGACACCATTATTTTAGACAGTACATGACAAATTGAAAAATAACATATCAGTTGAGAGTCAGGGAAAGTTAAGTGTGTCAAAGCTTTTACTACAGAGGGTGACCAACTGCAGAATAATCTACTTTCTTAGTGCTCCTTTGCATCTGAGCAGTGACAGGCAAGATTGAGTCTGGCCAAAAGGCCCTATTAATATGCTTCAGCTCACCTTCCACTGCTGAGCTATTAGTGGTGACCTGCACTCTTAGGGGATTTGATTTCAGTGAGAACTCAGAAAAGTAGAAAAATAGATGAGAGGACACCTCATTCACATTCTATCAGAGTGGTAGGTTGGTGAGGGTAAAACTTATACACAGCAATTGGGATGATTTCTGTTGCTGCATCATGACCACCTTGATATGATATAATTTTGATAATTGTCTTCCCTTCTCCACTTTGCAGAATTAAACCTTGTCAAGAGAGGTAAAGGTATGAGTGTTCATGGCACACAAGGAATGCCAGGTTAGACAAATAACATCAAATTATCTTTTGAGCCTGATACCTGGCTTTTTGTATAGATTGAAGTGAAACATAATGGTATGCTTTATTTATGTCTTTCATTTATTTAACTTAAATTGTAGCATATATGGGGATATCAGAGGAAGGTGAAAATGTATACCCCAAGGCCCTACTTCATCTGATATTACTGTTTATGGAGGCCCTATTTTAAGAAGGCAACTCTGCATAATATTTAGCTCGGTCTGTGTTCCTGCATTTTGCAAGTGATAAAATTACAAATGAATTAGTTTAGTGAGGCCAAATAAGTAGCAAGTAATAAAGATTATATTCCAAATATTCCTATTATAACTGCATGGTTCATTTTGTTGTTTTCCTAGAGAAAATTTATTTTAAGGTATCTATGTGTGTGTGAGTATTATACAGTTTGTCTCATTTGGTCAGCCTTTGTCTCTGCTCTCTCTCAGCCTGGTTGCCCTGGTTACCATTACATACACTCTTGTGCATGAAGATTCTCTTTGACGAACATTTATTTCTATGGAGACAATGATGTCATTGGTACGGGTGGGTACTTAGGGAAGGCATAATGAAGTGTTGAATATTAATCTTTCTTTTGGTCATAAAGTGTATTATTAAATTACTTTTTTAATTAGAGGACTATATTTTTGCTTTCCCTTTTACTTGATCATGAAGCTACGTTTTTCCTTGCTTGAATAAAATGACTTAAAGCATTAAACACACTGTACATCTCCTCCTTAGGATTTGTGGTGCCATAGAGCTCAATACAGATACATCAAACAATAAAAGAGTTATTACTTTAACCTTAAACATGCCTCAGAGATGAAAAGTTTATCTCAATAACATTTGTTATCATCAAAAAGTTGTGCAAGTAATTTTATATTCACATGAAGGCAAGGAGCAATGTGTAGACGGTGGATCGAGGAAAGTAAGGCCCTGCTTGTAGTCATTATTTTTAAAGTCTCTTGGCTCAGAGACACAAGAGTAAAACAGGAAACTGATAGTTATTAAAATGTTTTCTATGATATTAAATAAGCCCATGTATAATTAGTATTTCATTTTTTTTGAAGTCTTAGGAGGCTTTTAAACCTTTTTTAAGCATCTACTTCACTCCGTTTTCCTTCCACACTCCTCCAGTCTCTTTTTTTTCTTTCTAGATGATGTGGAAACCTGCTTATGACTTTCTCTATACTTGGGGCGCTCACTACGGAACTAGCTATAGAGACGTGCTACAGGACCTTCAATCAGCTTTGGACAGAATGAGAAACCCTGTGACCAAACAATGGCGGGACCTAACTGGAGTTCTACTGCTAGTACATTCTTTAGAGGCTCTGAGAGCCACTGCGTTCTCCCCTTCGGAGGAAGTATAGAAATGAAGGGTATGTTTTCTGGAGGAGGGAGAAGAGTAGGGGGAAACGTGTGTGTGTGTGTGTGTGTGTGTGTGTGTGTGTGTGTGTGTGTGTGTGTGTGAAAGAGAACGTGCTCAGAAAAATATTCCTTGTATTTTTCATGTTTGAAAACATATTTTCCGTGTGAAAGCACAGCAGCACACAAAATGCAAAATGGGTTTTATAATCAGACGTGTATTTTTGTATCTATTTCAAATGCAAACATTAGGCTGCTTTGTTGTTGATAAAGGGGAGAAAAACCCTGTGTCCCTTTCAAAGTTACTTTTACTTTAAGTTAAAACAGATGACTGTTTAGCATAATTACATCACGAAGATACCCAGATAAACTAGAAGCTCTCAATGTGAACGATGGGGTTTTACCAAGAGGCCAGGGGGAGACAGGAGAAGCACACACGCACTTGGAGCTCAGGGCTGCCTGCCTCCTATATCTGATCTCTTACTTCTCCCTGGAGTTTGCCAGCATCGTTCCCATTTTTCATGTGAGGAAACTAAGAACTGGAAAGGATGCTCAGAGTTATAATCACTAGTATGAAGTAGGTTTTCTCTCTGCAAAACTTGGTTCTATTCTTTAAAAAATCCCGAGTGCATCGTAAAATGGTAAAAATACAAAAATGCATATTAAAACTTACAGGGAAATGGTAGCTATTTCTTTTCACTTGAAGCTCACTGCTCTTGTCCACCATCTCTTGAAAGATTGCCAAATGGAATGTGTGAGCTATCAGAAACCTGTTGCCTGTAAACATGGACTGGAGTTTTCACCACCTTTCCCCGACATCTTGGGACCTAGCCAATCCTGGACTTTTCTTCAGGATCATTAACTCTCAGGGATTTTTTAATAACAAGGGTTATTAAAACAACAACAACAACAACAAAAAAATTGATTTATCACTGTTGAATGCAATAGTCTTAACCACCCAAAACACTGATATCTGCACGTGTGGCTGCTCACATGCTTATGAAAATGTGTGTGTGTGAGAGAGAGCATATGCGCCAGTGTATCTTATAAAGCTTTTGGAAATCAAAGGTTATATTGGGCCAGTAGAAAGGTTAACTGCTGGCAGAGAGTTCAGAAGAGATGGTCTGTGCTTATTCATGTGTTCAATCCTCTGGCCACCTGCCAGTATTTATGTGTTTTGGACAATCATCCATTTATTGTTATTCAGTCGATTTATGGAATGAGTGTTCCTACTCTGTGGCAGGCACACAGATTTTTTAGGTTAATAATGGGAAAATAAAACCAGCATGATCTCTGACTTCGGTATTGCCAAGTGATGGATACAGACAATAATAAAAATTTATACATGTAAAAATTTAAATGTAAAATGGCAACTGTAATAACAGCTGTGATGGAGAGGCTGGGATGCCAAGAAATACAGATATGGGGCCATCATATGAAAGAGGGGGATCAAGTAAGTTTTCCCTTGGAAAGAAATGATGACCCTGAAGGAGGATCCGGCATCGCTTCCAGCCTGGGGCTGGTGGAAGACAGAGTTGCTCAGTGCACTGAAGCCCTCAGGCGGGGGGTGCTCAGGCGATGCAGGGAACTGGGGCGAAAGCCTGGAAGGGTGAAGGAGCGAAGGAAGGAAACACACACCTTCAAAGGTAAGGTGGACGAGCTGAATAAGGATTTTGTTTGGGGGCCCTGAATAAAACATATACATTTGGCTAAAAAGTAAAAGCAGAATCTTTTTAGAGCTTTTAATACATCCACCCCAGAGTATTTGGTATGCTGGCAAAGGTAACTTGAACTAAAGCTTAAGAACAATCTTTACAGCTTTCAATATTTATATTTGGTGATAGGAGGGCCAAGCCTGCCCAAGGAGTTATGTACACACATCCAAGGGTGGAATTTATTTTAGTTGAAAATAAATTCTGGGAGAGGGAAAATAAAATGACTTCTAAGTTCAGGACACGATCATTGAGTGGTAATTTGCTTTCTTTTGAACATTCTTGGAATCTTATTAACATGTCAGCAAATCAGAGGATTTCGGGAAGGGATAGTAAAGAATTAATAACTGGGTTTCTCCAGGCTGCAGGATCTGAGAAGACAGAGATTTTGTTAGCTGATTAGGGAAGTAACATTAAATAAATCACATCAGGTTTACATTGCATCATGTGTTGTGATTGTGGCTGGGAAGTTTAAGAGTTTAAAAACTGAAGAACATAATCTTTGCAACTTAAGGATGAAGCAATGGTTTAAATATTAATACACAAAAGATATTTTATAATCTTGTAATAAATCCTCTCAGACAAATTTTAAAACCATGTCCAAACACTGTCCTTATAAATAGAGTCTAACATTTTATAAATCATTTCAGTTTTCTGAATTTTAGTTTTCTTTCCATAATGGATTCCCATAATCAAAAGATTAACTCAGTAATCATGAATTGCCTTTAATATTTGGCAGCAAATCAAGGGAATAAATAAAGCGCTTAAGTCCCATTTTTGAAATCATTAAAAGCATCAAAAATGATTAATCTAAGACTTCTTTAAAAGCATTTTGGAAGTGAAAAAAGCATAGACAGTTCTTTCATTTCCTCAGACTTTCCCTCTAATGATGGCTTAGGATGAGATTTTAGTTCAGCGCTCAGCTTGCAACATAACAATTTTCCTGTGTCAGCCACAGTCCTCTACTTCCTTCTGTTAAACCTTAATATGAAGGCCAATTAAGATGGTACATGCAATAGTGGGTCATTAACTGTTCATAGCACTAATGGATACAGCACATTTTATGTGAATGTAGAAAATGCCACATGAAGTTTTGAACTTGGGGAGGACCAGTTTCCTGGAAGGAGCAGAATGCGCTGCACTAGTGGATGGTGTTGGTCTAAGAAACGTCACTGCCAGTAAACAGTTTTGAATGTGTGATATGAAAATACAATAGAGAAAACACACTGGAAATCATTTAGTGCTTTAATTGGACATTTCAACACTTGAATTTTCATACTGTGCTAATGAAAATTATATTTTCTATAATTTTGGCAATGCCTAAGGAATGTTTGTTGCAATTCAAAAGAAAACGAGAATAATGAAAAAATCATGGTGCTGGAGGCTTTTCTAATGAACATAGATCTTTTTTCTTATTAAACATAGAAATCCTTTCCTGCTCTTCCATACGAAGTGTCTCCTCACGTGCGTGGTGAGCGACGTCCCGCAGATCCTGCGTTGCCCTTACGCTAGGCGGGGCTAACCGAGGACGGTCTTCAGCGGGAAACAATCCCTGGAGAGCTATTGGCGCTCAGACCGCTGGGCCCCGCCCCCCAAATTTCTGATTGGCCGGGTCTGGGGCGGTGCCTGAAGATTTGCATTTCTGATGAGTTCCCAGGCCACGCAGATGCCGCTGGTCCAGGGACCCCAGTGTGAGAACCGCTGCGTTAATTTTCTTCATTTCTATAGAAATAAGAGAATCTTTGTTAAAATGGAAAAACTTATTTCTAGATAAACAAGTTTTTGTCTTTCCCAACAGAGCAATAGTTTTTACATTGTAATAAAAACCCCAAATCACATTATATAATGGCTTAATTTATTCATATAAACTGAACTTTTTCTAAATGAATTAATAGCCTGAAAAATAGTAATTTTGATTATAAAACTACTTAAAATAACTAAGACCTGCCTCTCCTTTGAAATGTAAAGTTATTTGAATAAAAATAGATTTAAAGTGTCCTCGCATGAGGATAAAAAGGCTTTGAGACGTTTACTTGGTGTATTCAGATGATTTCACAAATATATGCAGTGATGCTCTTGTTTCTGTAAAATATCTTTGGGGAAAGTCTTCTTCTTACTGACTTGTCATTTGTTAAACTTCTTGTTGCATTAATTTTTCCCCGTTGAAAAACAGGTGTATAGCTGATGTGATCAGTTTAACTGTCTGAGTTAAATTGTAGAATTGTAGAATTGCAAAATGACTCCAGACACTGCTTAAAGGGACAGCCAGGTGTTCTCCGTCCAGTCAGTGGTTCTGCATTTAAAGGGTTGGTGACTCTGAGGAAGGGTGATGAGTGAACAACCTCCCTTTGACATCAGTGTGTTATATCTCATTTTCTGCTCCAGTTCCCTTTTTAGTCACTCTCCTGTGGGTGACTAGGAGGATCTATGACTTCTTTCTTTCTGTTCTGAGATATCTGAGACTGCCCTTTTGTGCCAGGAAGCAGATTTTAAATGTTCCACACTTATACCGTTGGAATATACTGAGGCACTTAATATATTCATATAAATATGTGATTAGTAGTTGAAAATCAAAACTTAGTCATGATGAAGTCACTGGTTTTACGCACACTGATTCTACCAAGCTTGAGCACAAAGAATTTATTGTCTCTCACAACTGAAAACTACCAAGGTAGTTTCAGGCATTCCAGGATTCAGGACTTGAAGGTGTAATCAAATTGTTTGTTTGGTCTCCCACCCCTCACTCTCCACCCCCCTTCTCTGCCTTTGATTATATAAGTTTCATCCTTGGGCTCTGCAAAGCCGCCCAGCAGCTCTGTGCTCTCCCTCTTCATGGGGCAAGATGACTGCAGCAGCTCCCGCCTAACATCTCCCCGTGTTCCAGTTTCAGGTGTTGTGGCTTTGTAATGTGTCAATTTGAGTCAACTATGTTTCCCAGAGTTCTCTCCACTAGATATTTCTGGTTAGAGTTGACCTCCAGAGAAATCTGTGGAAGATCTGGATTGCGACAGTGGAGCAATAGCTACTGTGACTCTCAGAAGGTAGATGTAGGTCAGGCCCCATTGCAGCCCCCGACTCAGCTTGTCAGTGGGGGAGGCAGCTGCCGGGCCTGCAGCTCCAGTTTCCCTTGGTTCTCCACCTTTCACTTCTCCAAATCCCAGCCAGGTGTGAGTGTGAGTCTGCAGCACCACTTCTCCTGGGGGTTATCCACAGCAGCTGGCTTGCAGGCTTGGAGTTGGGGAGGGACCAACATGGGTACTGGTGACTGATACATAGAGATTCCAGTTGTCCCTGCTCTTCCCCAGTCAATGTGCATTTTTCTTTCACTCAGCCTGACCTGTGACTTCCAGCTCAGCACCAGAGACAAAAAAGGCCAGGTAAGACCGGCCAGCTCACAAATGTGTCTGGTCAGATCACTGTGATAAATCCTTAATGTACATCATTGCTGGTGGTTCAGCTTTTCTCAGGGAACCCTGATTGATAGGTAGGGCAAGAGAATATTCCCTGATAACTCAGGAATACCTCAGTTTGGGCCAACTTAGGTTTTGTGCTCACCCCTCAGCCAATCACTGAGGGCTGTAATCAGTGGTTTTTGATTGGTCAGGCCTGGGTCGCATGCTCTTTCCTTGCAAACCCATCCAGATCGCCAGGTCTGAGAGTCAGTGATCACCAAGTGAAATCAAAATCTGTTCCTGGAAATGGGAAGAGATGGATGTTGGGGAGGCCAACAGCAATTTTCCACCAAAAATGTGAGTGAGATTAACCTCAGCACTCTTTTCTGTATCAGAAAACCTTATCCTTCGCGTGTAACTCAAGAAACTAGTCATATGAGTCCTTCTTATGAGACTGGGTAATGGGCCAGCTTTTATAAACTTTTTCAGTAAATCTAACTCTAAGTAAATGGAACCTCACCAGCAATATCTACCATCTACAGATCATTAAAAATTGCTGATGACATGACAGGGCCATTTGAAACCTCGTCAAGACTACAGATTCACTTGGCCCAGGGGCAGATCTCCTTAATTGTTCATTCTCAAGCAGGACGCATAACCTGGTAGCTGCACCTCACCTGCTACCAGAAAGAGATTGGGAGAGGCACGGGAGGAGGCCCCAGAATGGCTGACTGAGAAAACTGTAGGATCATGTGGCATGACCTGCCAGTGGAAACTCCTTTGAACATTCTCTAAATGAAATCACAGGAGCAGGTCTAAGGTCAATGGTATTTCTATCTATTCTCAGCCATCTGACTTTTCATTGGAGACTTTTACCTCCTTTTGAATCAGTAATAACTTCTAAATATTGTCCAAGGGGAAAGTGGAAAGGCAATATGAGCCAAGGGAAGTAGATGACTCTGAGACAGTGAGAAATAGAGCAAAATGAAAGGGACATACGAAGGTGGCATGCATGTTTGCTTTATGTATATAATAGCTTCATTGAGATAGAATTCGCATATCGTACAGTTCCCCCTGTCCATTTTTAAGAACCCATAAAACATTTTCTTTCTTAAAACACAGTTTCTGTTTAATGTTTGTTCAGGTATATTCAGGATTTACTCTGTGTGGAGGAATGCTCTTCAGGGGGGAATATTGTATTGTGATATTTTTCAGGGTTGAGTGGGATGCTGTGGGTTGTGACAAAATAAGATTAGCAATCAAAGTTATGAGAAAATGAGGAGAGAGCACTTGATGTTATATTCCTAAAGCTATTTTCAAGAGGTTGCGCTGATAGTTAGGAAAAAAATCTGAAGTCCTCTTTTCACACTCTTGGAGAACCTTTATTAATTTATTTTTTTCTATTTTGATTGCTGAGAATATTACTGGGCACTTAGGGATGAGAGTTCAAGTTGGGGTGTGAGAGCTGCAAAGCAACTGCAAGAAATTAAGCCACCTGTTCTGGGTTCCTGCCTGGAGCAAGGTTCCAAATCTGTCCTTAATGAGGCCTCTATCAACTACTTAGTATATTCTGTGTTTATCTACTAGAAAAGTGTATTGATTTGCCAGGGCCACCATAACAAAGTACCACAGAATGGATGGCTTAAACAACAGAAAGTTATTTTCTTACAAGTCCAAGATCAAAGTTGTGTCATGGTTGATTGCTGCTGAGGGCTGTAGGGAAGGATGTGTTCCAGCCTCTCTCCTGGCTTGTAGACTGTTATCTTCTCCCTGCGTCTTCACATGTTTGCACCTCACATATGAGTCTGTGTCCCAATCTTCTCTTCTTTTAAGGACACCAGTCACTGGAATAAGGCCCACCCTAGTGACCTCATTTTAACTTAACTACCTCTTGAAAGATACTATCTCCAAATACAGTCACGTTCCTAGCCACTGGGGGTTAGGATTAAAAAAATACAAATTGGTGGGGGGCATAATTCAGCCCATAACAAAAATGAGTTGGTCAATTTCAGTTTTTATATTTACCAAAATCAACTATTTGTTCAAATGCCTTTTGAACAATCCTACAATGAGCCTTTTTAAGTTTTACTTCCTTCTCTAAGCACAGGCAACTCATGGATGCCTGAGAGAAAACTGACAGGTGTTTCAGACCCACAGAGTGAGCAGGATTGCAGAGAGTGGCAGACCTAGACCGCTGGAGCTCTCTCACTACACTGTTCTCTTACCTCAGGCAAGGTTTATTGTTAAACCTTGCTTTCAGAACTAATGGAAACTACTGGTATAGATAATACATGCTTGTAGATAATTTCCCTTGGGTTTTCTGAGTTGTCACTATGGGATCTCAGTGCTGCAGATAAAGAATGCTTTTTCGACAGGTGGGGAACTATGAAGATAGTCTAAGAACAGACTAGGTGTCCTGGGTGGGGACTGTGACATGAATCTGGACCCATTTGTTTATTTGTTTATTTTTTAATCCTCACCCAAGGATATTTTTTCCATTGCTTTTCAGAGAGAGTGGAAGGGAGAGAGAGAGAGAGGAAAAAAACCCAACATAGATGTGAGAGAGGCACATAGATGTGAGAGAGGCCTCCCAAACGCTCCCCAACCAGGGCTGGGGATGGAGCCTGCAACCAAGGTATAGGCCCCAGCTGGAATCGAACCCAGGACCCTTCTGTCCTTGGCGGACACTCAACCTCTGAGCAAAACCAGCTAGGGCTGGACCCCTTTATTGATTTGTTTATATTTTAGTGACCACTGAGATGCCTGGGATTATCATCTGTTACTGAGAAAACCAAAACAATGGAAGGCTTAGATCACACAGAAAGCACAGTGAGCAAATCTAGAAAATGTGTCTTGTCGAGGATGGTGGGTGGGGAAGACAGACAGGATTTGCTGGACTCCGAGGGGGCCGAGCAGATCATCCAGAACAGGGATGTGAGAGAAGAGGCAGAAAAATCTCCAACTGGGAACTGCAATTTGAGAGAGAAGGCTAGGCAGTCTCCCCAGTGGTCATTTCTTAGTTCTTTCAGTGCAATCAGGGTAAGCAACCTTTCCCAATTTACCCAGACGGAGGGGTTTCC